TTGCAGTCAGGTGGTACTTCCTAAGGTGTTACAGAAGTAGTATGGAAAGATGTACAGAGAATGGAAGGGATTGGTCAGGTGTGTGACTTAAAATTTAGGAAGCTTTCTCATAACAACATTGAAGAAGCTGTTAAGTGTATTGCATTTGCCAAAAATACAGGTCAAAGCAAGTGAAAAAATCCTAATTGTTAGAGGCAAAGTGGGAGCACAGTAAGTATTACATTGATTTACTTTGGATGAAAAAGGTATGCCGTGTCTTAACCTTATTACCCTTGCTTGCCAGTGATGGCTGTACCAAAAGATAAAACTTTTGAACAGCAGATTGTGCATATACTATGTCTAGAAGAAGCAGGATTGATATACCTGATGTGGACCACAAATTAGTGGGCAAAAGTAAAAAAAAAAAAAATACGGTTTAGAAATGTAGCTATCCAGCTGTTGGAAAACCAGCATCACAGTAACAGAGATTACTGGAAAAGTTGGTGGAATCACTCATCTCATAATCATATTTAGTACTTTTAAATTGGAGAATGGTTTGAAAAAGGCATGGGTAGTTATTGACTCGTATTTTATTCAACAGACAAATAAAAACAAGAATACCTGCCCTGTTGGAATCTGATGACAATCACTGGCACCTTGCAGAGGTGCAGAACAAAAGGCAGAACAGAAAAGCTGGTGTGATTTAGGTGTCAGGAAATCTTGCTGCTTCGTGGAAATGACACTGTAATTTAGAGTAAGAAACAGCTGCAAACAGCAGTGGTTTTACAGGTAGTGGCCTTGTAGTTGCAGGAGGTTGCCACCTTACATCCTTACATGCAGACAACCATTGAAGAAATAGGGAATGTATATTTTCAAATACAGGAAAGGGATAGAGTTGCTGAACTGGGCATTTTCCTTGAGAAAGCTTCAAACAGGCGCTCACCAAAAGCAGGTTGACATGGCTGAGCCTTAGGACATGATGCAGGTGTTTGACGGCAGGTATCTCATAGAAGACCTGCAGATTCCTGTCCATAGAACAGAGTATCAATTGAACATTTATTATGAGCTTTAAGGTAGTAGCTTAATTTGTTATTATCATTTATATGCTTACATGGCAGAGGGAGATCTGCCAAGAGCTGGTTTGAACTGGTTTTGTTATGTTATAAAAATATATGGAATACTGATGATTTAGGATTGCATGAATCAAATTTTCCTCAGAATCGTTGGCTCTGGGAGATTACTGAACAACAGACAGCCCCGAGTCTCCTCTTGGAGCAAAACCAAACAATACCACAACTAGTGCTTGATTTCTCCAGTAGCCTGGATTGTTGATCACTGGGAATTGCTAGTCATAAAGTTGGCCAGATGAGTGACCAGAGACATATTTTGTGTTTTGTGGGTGCTTGTTCTTCCAATGTAACAAGTAATTAGACAAATAGTCCGAGTTCTCTGCTTATCTTACTTTTGCTGTATTCAATTTCCTTGTCGCTTCCAATCTATGGTGGCAAAGATTATGGCTGACGTAAACATAATACTACATAAATAGATGACTTGAACATTACAAGACCATTAAAAGTGAAAGAAGAGAGAGGGAGAGGATAGACAGTGGGAAAAAGGAAAGGAACTGTGAAGTTTCTTGCTAGCAGTGGTAGGGATAAATCAGAAAAAAGTCAAATTTTGTATCAATTGACAAAAGCAGTCTAAAATTAGTTATTTGTCATTACTATTCTTTGATATACCTTGGTTAGCTAGTAATTTTTCTGGATCGGGTGAAAAATCGCATTCATATCAGGATAAGAATTAAGTTTCTGGTCCTCTTACGTGTGTTAGAATTGTGCTGCCTGACCCAGAACAAAGAAAATTGTGAGCTGCAGTGGGTGTCCTAAAATAACACTACACTATTACCAATGTTGTAAAAAGAAAATACTACTGTAAATGAAGTATAAACAATTAGCAAAGTAAAACATGATTTGTCATGGGAAGCAAAAAAATCTGTGGAGGTATGTTTTACAGTGCGAAGAAAATAGATTAAAAATTCCAGTGAACAAAGAAAAGATGAAGAAAAAATCATGAGTTCACATTATAAACGCTCCTCTCTAAAGCAGAACAGGAGACTGTTCAATGTTAGCTGGCATCTCAGTTGATGACATACTGTCAGTCAAGCCTCCAGGTGATCTTGCTATGAATGTATGAATATCTAATTAAAAGCTGATGTAATTGTTGTTCTGATAGTTTCCTCTCAAAATTTAGAACTTGTATGTTTCACTACTATTTTCTTATCAGACTTAGACATATTTGAATACATTTTGGTTTGAAATAATGAAGTTAATAAGTATACCTGGACAAAAATGGTATTAAAACAGGTGAGGAGTGGAAAAGAGGCTTAGTTTTGAAGAAAAGATTATGTACTTGACCAGTCTTTCTCCACTTTTCTAACTCCCTTTCTACTTGGGCCTTAACCTTAGAGACTTGTGACCTGTCTGTGTATGTATTTTAGCATTAAAATGTTTTAGGGAAAAAAGTTAATTATGTAATAGTATTATTTCTCATAATGAGAGGCTTCCTAGTCCAATGTGAAAGCTATTGGGCTGGGAGGCTTGAAACTTAGCCTGTAGGCACAGCTTGAACACTAGCACTCAGCAAAGCTGTTCACCGTGTCTCATTTTCCCCATCTGCAAAATGGTATTGACATTATTTGTAAACCCTTTATGATATGCAGGTAAAAAGTGCTCCCTGAGAGCACATTAATGGTCTCGGTAGTGTCTGTTCCATGTTATATTTGTGTTGTGTGGACACAGCATTGCAACATTCTGCTTAGTGCTGTTCTGCCAGCCTGTTTTCTCAGTCATTGTGGCATGTCCCTCTAAAATTTCTTCAAGTTACGAAAATCCCCTATAGTGCTCTTAAGACTGGGTTGTACCAATGGCACCCAGCAAAACAGCCTTCACAAATGCCTGGTAAATCATTGGTAAAATATGTATATCAGCAGTCATTAAGCCCACCTTTCCTCTCATTCTCACAAACTCTACTAGGATCTTTTTTTATAATCCTGTGTATTTTAATAATGTTTTCATGAATAAGGAACCATCCTTTCCTCCCCATCCCCTCCCAGCACACATATGTTTCAGGGTAAATAATATGTCCAGTATCACTTGGCTAGCATTATAAGGAGGAAGCAGAACCTCCTAGGAGGTGAAAAAGCAAGCTCTTCCTTTTTCTTGTGAACTCACTGCCATGCAGTGTCTCTTTTTCTGGAAGAAAACCCAATTATTCTATGTATATCAGAATTGGTTACAGATTCAGTTTTAGGAGATTAATTCCAAAGACATTAAAGCTAATTAAAGATTTAAACAGATTAGTGGTCTTTTACATTTAGCTGTGCATTGTGTTTTACTGGGTAAAAGATAACCAGTTGACTGTCTTGCCACTGCAGTTATCTATTGAGCATCACTGGATATCTATGTCCTACTCTATACACTCTGATACATGCCAGGGGGAGCCAGATTATTTTCTTTTTATGTTTGTGTGCATTAACAATAGGCCTACTTAAACTGCAGTTTCCCTCCCTGTTCTACTGAAAGATCAGCTGGCCTGCATTAGTTAAGCCACAGTAATTTGATTGTGCCATGAACAGCTCTGGATCCAAGAGCACAGATAGCACTTTTGACAAGAGTGCAAAAATAGCTTCAGAATATTTTTTATCTGTGTCCTTCAGTATCTCCAAGTTCTTTCCCTCTGTGTAGTTTAGAGTTGGCTTTAGGAAAGGAATAATTTGAATGGAGGAGCTGTTTGGAGGGGAGTAAACAAGATGCTCAGGTCTTAGCCATTGTAAAATAGCTTTTGCCCTAACATCTTGTTCCCTATTTTCCAAAGTGTTTTGATGATTTTTAAACTCAAGTTATTAAAGATACTGATTGGAATATTTTTAGCCTCAAGGATTCATGAAATAATGTGTTGTGCTCCCAGAATATTGGCTTTACATATCATAGGTTTTTAAAAACTCAGTGCAGTGGAATGATGCTGTCAAGATTTCCTTTCTTTAGCTGGAGAAACCTACTGTCTGTGTTTGTTTTCTGTAATTTATGTTTGAAAACTTAGCTTTTTTAAGCTAAGGGGTGGTGTTATGCAAGTACTAGAAATTAAGATAAAACTGCAAAATGTAACAGAAGTAGTAAACCATTACATCTGTGCACCAGCAATAGCAAGCTAGGACTTAATGAAAGGCCTTGTTACCTTCCCAGCTGTGGCTAAGCTGCTAATAAGGAATTGGCTGGCATGAAATACTGCAGCTGAAATTGGAACAGGGCAGTAGATGAAGAGGCTGCCTAGAAGAGGGTTAGAGAAACTGCAAAAAGAGCAATACTACAAGGAATATTGCTATGTGAAAAGCGAGAAGGAGGCTGAGGCTTACAGGGAAGAAATGCTTTCTTCTCATTATATGCCCTGTGGTTGAAATTCTGAAAGGCAGGTGAGCTAGCGTGCATTACCTTACTGCAAGAAGAAATGTAAAAGTGTCGAGATTTATTGAGGCTTGGACTAAGGAAGGCTCAAGGCTAGATCTACTGCTCTGAGTTTAGATTATCCTCCAGGTTGTAGAGAGAGATGGGATTAATGGTAATGAAAGAACTACTGTGATGACAATGGGGAGGTGTCACAGGTGTTGGTGAAGCCCTGCAATAGCATCTTCAGAAGATATTCAGAAGATGGCTTTGACCTTATGGGTTCAGCTGAGGGCTATTGTATGAGGCTGGAAGGCTCATGCAGAAGCAGGAGGGGGGAAAGGCTGGAGTTACTCTTTTCTAGTCTATGTAAAAATTATTGTGGTAATCTTGCTTTTCTTCATCCTGTTTTAAATGACTTAGATTGTACTTTGATTGGTTCAGGTCATACAGGTTTGAAACCTATATAGCTGAAGTAAAAATAAAAACCTCAGTACAACAGTAGATTTGATTTGTGAGAGAAATCTTAATTCAGTCTTTCTTATTGTAACCCCAACTTCAATCTCTTTTCCTTCCATATAGGCCATGTGTTTATACAATGGGATCGCCAATAAACAACAGAGCCCTTTTCCCATGCCAAGAACCACCCGTTGCCTTGTCAACATGGCAAGCCTCAGTCCGAACAGCTGCAGGCTTTGTTGTGTTAATGAGTGGTGAAAACTCAGCAGAACCAGTCCAGCTTCGAGAAGGTGAAATATATTTTCTATAGTAAATTATTTTCAATAATTTTATAATTAGAAATATAGCTTAGTAAATATATGATTTTTGAAAGAATTAAGTTCCTAACTTTAAAAGCACTTACATGTCTGTCTGTAATGTCCATGTCATTCTGACCTGTTCAAGGCCTCAGGATAACTTAGTAAGACTTCAAAGCATTTACATTTCGAAGGTGAAATATATTTTCTATAGTAAATTATTTTCAATAATTTTATAATTAGAAATATAGCTTAGTAAATATATGATTTTTGAAAGAATTAAGTTCCTAACTTTAAAAGCACTTACATGTCTGTCTGTAATGTCCATGTCATTCTGACCTGTTCAAGGCCTCAGGATAACTTAGTAAGACTTCAAAGCATTTACATTTCACTGTATTACTTCTACTTACTTTTTTCTGTGGTTTTATTCATTTTACTTTTTCCAAACCTAGACTTCACTTGTCATAAATTGGGTTTGTTTTAGTCACTCTGCAGTTGAACGTTTCATAGATGAAGTACCTTATCAGGCTCCTGACAACTTCAGGCCTTGGTAGATAATTAACTGTCAGTCTTAGTTCTCCAGTCCAAGTGTAGCTCAGCATGCTAATGATTAGAAGCAGTCATTGTGTCATATCTGTTTCCTGAAATATATGGAACAGGTGAACAATATCAGGTCAGTGCTCTGAAAATCTGGTCTTTGGGGTGTTTTTTGGCATTGGTAGATCATGCCTTGTGCAACAGTAAGCAAGCAAGCATTTTTCCTGTGTGTTGGTTCTACTTTATTCTCTGAACTTCTGTCTGCACAGAGAAGAAATTTTTTAAGGCAGTTCTACACATAATAATACAAAGTATGTCTTGCTCCTATTAGTTTTGAGATAATTTGTCAAACAGGGTCAGTATTTTCTAGTGTAAGTAGTTCTGATGAAAAGTAGCGTATAGGGAAACGTTAGAATTAGGTATTTCTGGAAAAAAAAAAGTCTTGTGTTCCCCTTTAAAGAGGCAAGTTTATTCTTGAAGGAAAAAAAAAAAGAATGAAAGTCTCCTTCATTTAAGAACCATCAGTTAACCCATTTGCATGGAATTGTCTGGTTATTTTTGGCCATATGTGAAGCCTGTTTAAAGCCTTGTCTCTGCTGTTGAAATATGGAAAACTGCCATGATGAGCTGCTCAGCTCACTTGGACAATAGTATTTTCCTGTCTCGGCATCAAGAAAGCAAAAGTGCTCTTGACTTCAGACTAGGAGAACAGCTCTGCCATCATTGTTTAATTAGTTTATTCTACACTTATGCCTTGCTAATGAGTTGTTGCCTGTCTGTCCCTCAGTGGTGGCTATGTGGTCTGAAATACTAAGAGGAAGAAGGATGCTTATGTGTATTTCTAGAAATACAAACGGAAAAAATTTCAGGCAGTATAAATTGGCATAGGTCAATTAAAACTGATACTCTCTTAGACCAATTAGCTAGTTGAAAAAGGTGTATTGTGAATGAATTATTTCCTCATTAGCATTGTTTTGTCATTCTAGTTTAAAAAAAACCATTAAAAATTTATACTTGAATAAATAAGAAAACTAGTTGTGGGGAAAACGAATTTTAAAATGCTGTTGATGGAGTGTTGCGAATGATATCAGGGTACCATATTGTTAATGATGGCACTGGGGCTTAGTCACCCAAAGTCAGCCTTGTCACCCTGTGGAGAACAGAAGGGGCTTTTGTTTAAATCCTTGTAGTTGTTGCAGTGGGTCAATGTATGTTGGTAATTCATGTGTCAGCTTAAAGCTTTGCTTGTTTTGGGTTTGTTTTTTTTGTTTTTTTTAATTTTCCACAGGCTAACCCAGTGTGTTTCCTTTCCTAAAAACTCGGTGAAAGCAAGAAATACTGTAAGAAGTCTTTAATGGAAAGGGCGGTAGGGAGGAAATGACTCATTTTAGCTTCACTGTGCTAATGAAGTGCTGAGTGAAAAGTGTGAAGGGAATTGGGAAGAAACAAATGAACATTACAGCTGGCTCCTTTAGGAGCCATGTGACAATGCAGAGTTTTGTGCTGAACTTCAGTGAACTGAAGCAGCAGGAGCACCTACTGCACTTCTGTCCTTACAGTTTTCCTTCCACCTCTCCTCAAGATGGAATTCCCAAGAGCGTGGAAGGTTCTGCTTATGGATCTATGCGGCACACAGAATTATTTATGCTAATTTTGATGTCATGATGCAAGGGTTGCTGGGTTTCTTTAAAGGTAGTAGGCATTGTGCTCCAGTAGCTTTCAAAGACTCAATCATGGATGAGACCCTCATTATCTTGCTGCTTATATACTGTTGGAAATGACAAATCAGTGTTAGAGAGTGGTCTGGAATTGTAAAAATTTACAAAACAGATACAGAGGAAAGAAGGGAAAGGAGTAATATTGCGAGGAATGTTTTAAAAAACAAACAAACCCAAGTGCTCAAGTGAAGCCTTGAATAAATTCTTAATGAATTTAGGGTTACAAATTCATTAATTTAATTAGTAGAACTTTTAAGAGTTAAAAAGTTCAAAATGGTCTGTAGTGTTAAATAACCTGTCCCACATAGATCTTGTTGTTAGGCAATTATGCAGGGCACATGAAATCTATCCTGCTTAAAATTTTGTCTTTACATGTATAAAACACACCTCAAAGCCTTTCACGGTGGCTTCAATTAAAATAACTTTGCCAAATTATTTACATGCTATTGCTGTGCTGCATATTTATAAAATCATACATAACTGGCGGAACATGAAAATCTATTTTTAAAAATGCAATTTCTCAGAAAGAATAAGCATTTTGGCAAGCAGTTGTGAATGAATTTATTCTGAATAGAATTACAAGTTAGCTGAATATTTTTTCCTTTGAAAGTCGTTTATAACAAGTGTGCAGGCAGACAATAGAAGAACAGCCAGCAAGGATGATACCTTCATGCTTTTAAACAGAGATCTGCCTTCTGCCTCACAGACATACATCTCTAGATGCATGGATGCTGTGATACAGTGCATAGCTAGACTAGGTGTACTCACATGCACAGATTCCTCATTTGCCACTTGTATTTGCAGGTTTTAGTAATAGTGTACTTCCTCCTGTATATGCCATTTTTGCATTCTGCCTCCTACAAAACTATGGCTCATCCTGTCATTTGAAATAAAGTGAGGCCACATTTGTTTGAAAATACTGATATGTCACTTACTTGAGTATAAATGGTAACTATTCAAGGATGACCTCAAAGTGCTTAAAAATACCATGCATTCTTTATGGAGTACTTAGAGAAGAAAAACTTATCAGAAAAATTCAATTGACTGTGCCCTTTGGGAGAAAGTTTTACAGGGACCACTTCGTGTGTGTGTAATGTGAGCCATTTAACCATTGGATTTATTTTTCAACACTTGTCAGTTTTACTTTCCTTCAGCATATTACTGTAACACATAGAAGGTGCGAATATATTCAGTCACAAACACCTTTACATTTGTTTTGATTCATGTTCAAGAAGTAGATATTCAAGCATTAAGTGTGAAATGAACTGGCTTGCTTTTTGTGCAGTTACTCTACCATTATGTAGTCCTTGATCTTGTTTTGCCATCTCTGATGCCAGCAAGAAGGTGTGTTCTGTTATTGAGAGGAAATATGGTGCTAGAAAAGCCACTGCTACTGCTCCGTAGCTAGCAGCAACAACAGTTGCTTTTGTTTGTGCTCCTCTCACTTTTCACAAGGCAAAACAGAAGAGTCCAGTACTTGTGTTGATTGATCTCCAACATATATCAGGAACTACAGCATGGGAGTTGACAGGTCATCACATGCTACTCATCCCTCTGAGCCAGTGTTGAACTAATGCTCTGGCAGGAATGTGAGGGTGCTCTGTGGGAAATTCTGGCTTTCAGATGAGATCAAAGATCTCTACAAGTTACAAAGAGTTTCACAAAGCTGGAGGGTTCTTAATCCTGGTGCTCCAGCCAAATAGTAGTTTTGGCATAACTACTTATTTAGCTGTTGTTTTATGTCATAGCGCTAGCTCTTACTTTGTATATCAAATGCCGTGTGGAGCTGTCTCTCTCTTTCCGTATTTTGTGGTGTTTGTATTTGTGTTAGTGCAAACTATTTGGGGGAAAAAATAAGTAAAAATACTTTTAATGTTCTTGCATCTGGCATTAGCAGATACTGACTCTCAGGTGTTTCTTCAGTTATAACGGAGTCCACAGGACTCAAACAATTTTAATGGTTTCAAAGATAGCTAAATGCATTAAAAATTCTAGGAAGTAATTACCTCATTCATCATTATTATTTCAAGTAGAAGAAATAAACAGCCTTTAAATTGTTCTTTTGCACAATTGTAAATATATTATAATTTCCTACCTTTGTTAAATGTAGTCCTAAATTTTGCATGGGATGTTTTCCACCTCATAGAATAGGTGATTGTTGTTGCCTGGTTTGTGCAGTTATGACATGATAGATTTGCTTTGCAGAACTGGAAAAAAAAGAAAAAAAAATTCAAAATTAGCTGTAGCGAAAATACTTTGAAAGTATTATAACTGCCTAAAATAATTATGTATAGGAACCAAGTAGCTTTTAAATTAAGTTTGTCTGTAAGGAGAGGGCATAAGCATTACAAATAAAAGGACTGGGGTGCTCTTCCTCTGTTTTTCCCATGGACTAACCCCAGTCTAATATTTTGTTCTTCCCAAGGTGTGATTTTGTAGTCTGAAAATGTTTTTGTGGTACAAAATGCTATTTTTGGTAAAAAGCCATCTCCCCGTTTCAGGTGCACTGTTTTCTCTTACCCTAGAGGTGGTGCTGTCTCCAAGGTAGCTACTGAAAAGCAAAGGGCAGCCGGGGGAAGGGGAGAGAGGGGAAAAGGAGCGGAGCCTGTGATCCCAATCTATGCCCTGGGATAGATCTGAGGTTGCAGGTGAAGGAAAAGAAAGCAAAGCTCACTGACCTGAAGAAAGTTAAAGAAAGGAAGTGAAGTTATGGGAGAAAAGGGCAGGCTGGGAGACAGCCTTACCAGTAGTGAGAGGAGACAGAAGATAAATGAGGGTTAGACTCTGTTTGAAACAGTACTTCATGGTGCTTGCTGTAGAGAAGTGTTGCCAACATTAAAGACCATTTCAGTCACTGATCAGTGAATGCACTAGGGGGAGGACTCACTTGTCATGCCAGTGCATGTGATTTCAGTTGTTCAAGACAAAAACAACTGTAGGATAAATACATGGTTATCCTGCACAGTTCTAGAGTATGAATGCAGAAGGCATCTAAAAGCCCTGCAGGAAATGGATTGAGCCGCAGTTAGGTGTGTAAAGACAGTATAAATCTTGGATCTTATTCTAGGAGTATTCAGAGTTCACATTGTCTCTGTAATGCCTGCAAAACATAAGGGGCTTGGGAAAAAAGACAAAGATCAGTATGTTAGTTGCTCTTCTCTTCTTTGGGAAATCCTAATTTAGATAAATCTGAAAACACATACCAAGAAAAAGTCACTTTCTTTGTCTTTGGTATCTTCACCCTTTTGCAAGGCTTGCTCCAGCTGAAAATAGCATATGTTCATTGCTAATTCATGTAAATTTCTGAATGCAGTCCATGTTGTTCTTCTCTCTGTACTGCTAAACTGATTCCCCATTCATTTTAACAGTCTGTTCAATTACCCTTGTTTTTTTAAAAAAAACCTGTATGGTCTTGCTTGCTTTAGCCCATCTTGCTAAACTTGTTTCATGCTGTAACCTTCTTTGCTCCCTCTGTTAGCATGGCACAGGCCACCACCCTTTCCTTTTAGACAATCTCCTCACTGTTGTGAGAGCCTTCTCCTTTACACCTCCTGCCGTATGGAACCGTTTTCTGTGACTGCCTTTTGACTTTCATGATTGTTTCAGAACTCAGTTGAAAACACACTACTGGTTTTCCATTACGATTCCTCAAATTTTCAGTCTTCCTCTGCTGTTGTTTAACTCTTAAGGTTTTACAGTTAACATAAATGCATGGAGCATTTTGTGATGCTTTGTATATAACAGATGCTACATAAAGTGAAGCATTGTAGACTACCTCTGGGCCTTCTCTTGTACGCATTTAAGTCAATGGTAAAGCTGCTATTAACTTCAGTGTGTGTTGGCTTGGGCCTCTAGCACAGTATATATCAATGAAACTCTCTACATCAGGAGTCTGGTATTTCAAAATAATAAATTGTTGCTGTCCTGGGTGACCTCTTTCTCTCAAAGTGGCATTTGTTCACCTTGTCTTATTTGTAGCTTTGGTAAGTTAATAAAGAAAAAAAGAGGGGGGGTATTGGGCAAAACAGTTATCCTCTTTGTTCCTAATGTGTTTGGAGCAAGTAAGTTCCTTGTGCTCACATACTGACAGGAGGGTAGGAAAATTACAGGAATAATATATGTTCACCTGACAATACAGACAAAAGGTTTTTGATGGTAGTGGTGAATATTGCCAAAAGTGGAATGGAGTGAGGGAGCGTAAGTCATTGCTAGTGTGTAGAAGAGGCAGAAGCTTTATCTGCCGCTTATAACTTCACAAACAGTATTGTTTTGTCATACTAAGTAGTAGGTGGAAAATTTGTTGAGGCTAAGCAAAAACATTTTTTGCTTGTCTTTCCTTTGGACAGCCTAGCATTCTGTGGTCATTAAGGTAGGAAACCCAGAGATGCTTTGCTGCGGTTGTTTATTTCCTTTCCTCTATGCCTTGTGGCCTCCACTGGATTGTTTTTTTTTTTTTTTTTTTTTTCTTTTTTTCCTTTTGATAGTGTTCCATAGCCCTGGTCAGAATACTATTGCAAAAGAACAAGTATTAATGCTCTCTTAAAATAACCAAAGTTTGTATGTTTCCAGGGTTGCCACAGCTAGTTATTTGCACATGATTCAGCAGGTTGTAACTCATGCTAGGCTCTTTCCAAGAGTAATTAACCTACTAGTGTGGTGTAGTAACTGTATTTGTGACCATAAATGAGTACTTGAATGTGATCCTTAAACTATACCCTTTTTAAAGGGACAGATGGAAAATGTAAGCAACATCTAGATTAATGAGAAGTATGCTGTCCTAGAACATCCTGCAGTTTATCCAAATGCATTCATGGATACAGTGATCCTATAGCCTACTCCTTGTCTTCCAGCACTGTGTTCCAATATTGATAAGACTTACCATCCTTTTACTTTCTAATACGCTCTAATCTTGTTTTAGCAGCTCCTGGATTATCGTGACCAAATCATTGATTTAGGCAATATCCCATCTGATTCTAAGCTTTGATTTGTCACTGCCTGGTTCGCACATCATGTATCTCAGATTGCCAGGTCCAATTCACAAGCCCTAGTGGTGTTTGTTGGAACTTGCCTGTCAGTTTGGTACTGTCCAGAACACAAAGAGAAGATTTTGTTCTGTGTGAGATAATACAGTTTAGACAAAACCATAAGGTAGTTGATCCAGGGTTGAAAGAGTTACATTTTAGTCTTTTTGTATGTGTGGATCTAAAGGTGCTATTAGATTTCATGTCTGATGCAATTCTTGGGCAGTAACAGTACAGTCATGTTAATATAATCATTAGCAACATCCCACTTATGGATGATTTATTTATAGATAAAGACATCAGCAGATAGAGGAAAGTTGCAGGTGTAAGTAAACAGTACTGAATCCATGGTGGTTACATATGACTGCTCTTACATGTCTTAGTGAAATTATTTTTCTTTCCTCAACAAAAATACCAGGATGTAAGGTGGGAGGTTTGGCCCAAAGTCTCAAGTACATAAAAATGTCAAGTACTGAGTGTCTGCCGTGACTAATGAGTCTGTACAAATGTTCTTTTTATTTACAGGTATCTTGAGCTGGTACTACTATGTGACTATGCCAATGCCAGCATCCACCTTCACTATTGCTGTGGGCTGCTGGCAGGAAGTTAAACAGCAGTCCTTCACAGCTGCTATCCAGACAAACATTGAGTTTTCCGTGCCATCTTCACAAGCTGATTTCAGGTTGGTGTTTAGAATATTGTTGAAAAATGAGATATATATGGGTAGCATTTTCATTTACTCTGTGGAATGTGAAAATGAGTCATTAGTACAGGAATCAAAATAGAACTTGTTTAATCTGAACAGAAAAATCTTGACAGGAAAATAATTCCAAAGGTATTACTTCATGGGTACGGGTGTGGTTCTTTTTATGTGAAAACAAGCTGCTTAGTGAGCAATAGAGTTAATAAATCCCAGTGTCCTCTGGATTTGCATCCTACATCCTGTGTTTCTTAAAGCCCTGCTGCAGCAAGGCTGTTTCTACAATGCCTGGCTGTAAGATCTTCTGTGTTACTAGACTCGGTCCATTCTGGATACGTAATGCCCCCTACTACAATATTGCATACTCACTCGCTTTTCTCTTCCTGTCCAGTCCCATCCCAGAGTTAGAGGTGGCCTGTGCACTGCCTGGGGTGATGTGTACTGACTGGGTTCGTAAAAGACATGTTGCAGTGGTCCCAAAAATAAAGCTGGACCAATGATTCTTTTCAATAAAAAGCTATCTTTAACCAAAACCATAGAAATGTCATTATTTTGGATACATCTGTTCTTCCTTCCAATCCAGTCAAAACTGCTCATTGAGTTTAAATTATTACACAGTGATGGATGAACAGAACAATACTATATAGGCCTGCAAATGAGACTTGAAGCTAAAATTAAAGTCTCTGGAGAAATACCACTTGTTTCCACTTGTATTCACCATAGTTAGCAGAAGTATCAGACATGGCGCTTGATTTCCTTGCATGTTACTCTCAGCTTTTCAAATTCATAGAGTCATAGAATCATAGAACAGGCCAGGCTGGAAGGGACCTTGAAAGATCATCTGGTCCAATCATTCATGGGAAGGGGAGCTTAGATGAGGTTATTTAGCACCCATTGTCCCTTGTCTTCTCCATGTGGCTTCTTGTGAAGAGACAGCCTCTGTGCCCTTTGTAGATGCCCTTTAAGTACTGGAATACTGTGATGAGATCCCCTTGAGCCTTCTCCTCTTCTCTTGCGCTTCTTTCTTCTCTTCCTCCTCTTCCTCTTCTTCTCTTTCTCTTCTTCTCGCATCTCCTCTCTTCTCTTCTCAGAAAAGGCCTAGCTCCTTCAGTGTTTCCTCACAGGGCAGGTTCTCCAGATCTTGTTCATTTTTGTGGCCCTTCTTTGGACCCTCTCCAGACTGTCTGTGTCTTTCTTGAATTGTGGGGACCAGGACTGGACACAATACTCCAGGTGTAGCCTGACAAGCACTGAACAGAGTGGAGCGATCACATTTCTATCTGCCCCTGTGAATGCAGCCCAGGATCCTGTTTGCCTTCGTTGCTGCAGTGGCACACGGATGACTCATGTCCAACTCATGCTGCAGTGGCGCATGGATGACTCATGTCCTGGTTGTCCACCAGGAATCCCAGGGTCCCTTTCATTAAGGCTGCTCCCAGACACACAGATCCTAGCCTGTGCTGGGCTCTTTGGTTATGTCATCCCAGGTGCAGGACTTTGCACTTGTCTTTGTTGAACTTCACACTGTTCTTGCTATCCCCTGCTTCCAGCCTGTCCAGGTCTCTCTGTAGGATGGCTCTTGCCATGGTTCACCTCACCACCCAGTTTGGTGTCGTCAGCAAACCTGGCGAGGGTGCTTTCAATCCCATCATTGAGCACGTTTGTGAAGATGTTGAACAGTGTGGTGCCCAGTATCGATCCCTGGGGGACTTGTGACAGGCTGCCAGCCTGAGTAAAAACCATTGATCACCACTCTCCGAATGTGGCCTGTGAGTCAGTTTCCTACCCATCTCACAGACCATCCATCCGGTGTGCATCTTGCCAGTTTGTCCAGGAGAAGGCTGTGGGAAACTGTGATGAATGTTTTGCTGAAGTCCAAGCAAACAATATCCACTGCTCTCCCCCTGTCAACAGAAAATGTTATTTTGTTGTAGAAGGTGATCAGGTTAGTCATGCCATAAGTATTTTTTCTGTTACACAGTTAGAAACTTAGCCGAAACAGTACTTGCCTTTATATAGCTGTTTTGGGCTAATACTGTGTTAACATCAAGACAGTGGAAGTCCTTACTGTTTTTGTAAAGCTAGTGAGACTTTGGAACTTGAGGACCTAATAGGGATTTCTTATTGGAATTTAAAATGAAAAGATTCTGATGGCTTGCAGCTTGGCTAATTTTGATTAAAAAAATTCTAATAAATCTTGAGAATATGAATTTTTATATTTTACCTGAGATCAGTAAGACATGCCTGTTCAAGCTTTAGAATAGTTTATAGGTTTGATAAGCTTCTAGAAATTGTTTCATAATTATTCCTCTACTATTTCTATGTTTATAATATGACTGCCTCTACAGAAATATGCTGTAGATGTTCACTATATATTCCTCTCTAATGTACAGCGTGTTCAGTAATAGGAATTTTTATTGATTTGGTGCAAAAGATTATTCTGACAGTGTTGATGAATAAATGAAAGGTTTCATTTTTTTAAAAACTTCTGAAAAAAGGGAAATATTTTTGTAGCTTTTTGTAGCAAAAATTAGTGCAAGTTTTAATCAGTGTGATGGTTATTGTTATGAGTCAATCTGTGTGATGGTCATTGGAGGAATTGTTTGGCGCAGGTTCTGTGATATACCTGCAGCAGTTGAGTTAGTGACAGTGGAAGAAACAGAACTAATGTGTTTCAGAAAAAAAAACTGACCAAAAAAAAAAAAAATCCTCTGCAAGTGTGGTGTCTACTATGCATAGACAAAAAAGGAGAGCCTGGGTGTAAAAGGTTGTTTTGCAGTTAATTAGGACATAAAAATCTATGTCCTTAAAAATCTTCTTTTACAGTTATATCCAGTTAATCTTTATTTGGGAGTTAGTGCAACAGACATTTGTTACTTATTTTAGTCATTAAGACTAGGTAACCAAACCAACATTATGCATAGTAGAAGGGATTTCTAGAAAGGATATGAAATGGTTAGACAAGCAAATGTTAAGGTAGTGTCTCAGGTAAGATAATGGAGATAAACTCTTGGGCAGCAGGAAAAGGAAGGATTTCTGAAAGAAGTTGTTGAAATGTGTAATGTAATTTATGTTCAGGTGCCAGTGAGTTTGACATACGGAGACTGTATCAAAGAAAATGTTAAATGGAGCTAGAGTGTTAAATAAGTTTCCTATCTCCTTGTGGTCATTAAGGACTTGGAAACTTTTACAAGAGATAGAGTGCTAGCTTTCACATTCTTGCCTAATCTCAACTCAAATGATTAAATACAAAGTGCCATTGTTTTAGAGCAGAAATATACTGGGTTAGGCCACCCTTGAAAAAAAAATGTATAATGATGGATGTAGTTTCTTTGCATATGTAGTCAATGAAATAGCTTAGAGTCCACTTCTTTCACAGAAAGGGTTATGTAAGATGTTAAAGTGTTGGCACTTCAGCAAAATGTAGTCCTTTTCTACGTGTTATCGTTTTGTTTTGTGTGTCAGCACTCACCTGGAGCGTGATCTTCCAAATATAAATGCTTTGGGCAATGCCAGGTGCAATAACAATAAGAGCTTTGCCTGTCGAGGCATAGTAGAACCAGCTTCCTTAAGCTGAAATCTCAAACCAAGGAGAGGCTCTCCGCTGTACAGAAGACAGGCTAGCAAGTGAAAACATGAAGCTGATTTCTGCTTAGATATGAGTCTATTTGGGCAGATAAATTATTGTGAAGGTATATGACTCAGTGTTTAAGAAGGGTTTCCTTCCAGCTACACCTCTGAATATCCTGTAAAAGTAATGTAAAGTAAGTTTGATCCTAGTGTGATATTTTCAAATGTCTACAGTGATAAGCCTGAATTGATAATCTACTGTTTTTTTTAAAAAAAAAAAAAAAAAAAAAACAGTAAAAGATCTGGGAGAATTTTAAAATCAGTAAAAGTTCCTGGAGAATTTTAGTAACAACATCATAAAAAAGCCCCCTTGGAATTTCATTTCTATTGTACCTAATATGTTCATGTTAATATGTATGAAATTTTATTTTTTGTAGTCAAGTTTGAATAGGAATTCTCTGAATAAATAAGTATTTTTGTATTGTTACTTAGTTTTCTTATGTACATTTTGAGCACTTGTTCTTTTAATGCAGATCTATTATAAAAACAAGGTTTGACTAGTCTTTTTTTTTTAGTTATGGGTAACTATGTCAGTTTTACTCAGACATGTAGTAATGAGTGTTTTCACAGTGCTGCACATGTGTGAACAGTGTAAGAATACGAATGAGTTGGTTTTATGCGAACTAACTGTCATTCTGATGTATAGAGAACATCCTTCTCTTAGCATACTCAGTTGTGCACATTTCTGGTATCACATTAAAAATTGTTTTTTTTTTTTTTTTTACTCATTTGTGCACTTTTTTGGTATCACATTAAACTTTTTTTTTTTTTTTTTTTTTTTTGTATTATTGTCAGATGGCATGAAGAAATCTGTGGTCACGTGGAATATCCCTGCCGTTTCCAAAATCCTGCTGCCAGGTTGCAGGCAGTCATTCCTTATAGAGTCTTTGCTCCCTGCTGCCTTATGGAACGCTGCGAAGAACATTTGCTTCAGCTAATTCCTCAGTGCCTCTCAGCTGCTTACATCACACTGGGTACCCACCCGTTTTCTAGGCTTGATGTTTTGATAGTTCCTTCCAACTTTTCCAGCCTGGGAATGGCTAGGTAAAGAAACTTCTTAGTATCTCATCCCCTGTGTTTTGTAAGACTCCTTTTTATCAGATAGTTAACAGTGTCAAATTGTTATCAATATAAAGTTGCTGTACTGTTTTTCTTAAACCAGACTTAAAACTCTAGTTCTGGCTTCATGTGGGTAGGTTTGCTTGCATCAAGGAAGGAAAATATAAGCTTATTAGACATGTGGGTCTGAATTTCCTCCTTTGCCAAAATGAAGTTCTTTTATTGGTTCTATTGATTTAAATACTTGCTGCTGCTATCATTTTGTCATGTTTTCTTTTGTTGTTGATTTTACCGTTATGTCTTCACAGAAGAACAGCATGTTAAAATCCAGATCTAGAGTTTATTCATAAGCCTTTTGTGATTTATGAGTTTCTAGTCAAACACTGGTCTTTAGAAGCTGAGTAAGGCAAACCGTAAGGATTATATTATCCAGTTTTCATGGAATTGTGGAGAATAAAAAGCTTAATTAAATATTTTTGGTTTTACAGTATAATTTCCAGTCATGCAATGACAAGAGAATTTTAGCTCTGTTAGTTGTAAGGCAATGCTTAGCAATTGAAGTTCCCCATTTGGTTTTTATTTTTCTTAAAAATATATATATTTTTGAGTTGGTAATGAGATAGTGTTTGTTAATAGCAAAGAATGAAACCCTATTTTTATTCACTGTTTGCCTAGTGCCAACAGTGGATTGGATTCATTTAGACAGATGGACAAAACATCCAAGGGAAGAATGAAAGGCAAAGCTCTGTTAGAAAGATGAGGACTGAAAGGAAAGGTGTATTCCCAGACTGTTCGTTTTGTATTTTGGAGCTCCTGGGGCAATTGTTGAGAAGGTTTGATATCTGAAACAATGTCAACAAATTGCACAAATTGCCAGTCCAAGAGCTTAGATGAACCAGAAGTTCATTTCTTTTTACAAACTATATAATTAATCAAATAAGGAAACATTTTGTTTCATGCTACATGTTTTGTTTCTTATTTACATAGATTTTTTTTCTACAGCTTTCCTCTTTCAATCCTCCTTAGGGATCAAAGTAGAAAATTATGCTGGCATGTAATAATATTGTATAGTTTTTAGTGTAAGTTTACTTTCTTTAAGGAAGATCTATAAAATTTGAAACTTAAGCATTCAGTGACCCTCCTCTGTCATATAAGCCTCATTGCCTTGTAGATGCCTTGTACTGGTTACTGAGTTTTCAATGATAGCTCTTCACTCAATGAACTCCGAAATGAAAGCATCAAGAAACTTACAGGAGTCCTGGTTGCTCTGGGCACCTACCACAAACTATATTCTCTGATGCTTTGCATAGTGGTTTGATTTGGAGGTAAGTGTGATGTTTTGTACCATCTCCTTGAAGCCATATGAAATTGGTAGAGCTGCTTAGTGATTTCCTCTGACTTCAAAGGCATGGTACCAAAAGGTTGACACAGGTCCTTATGGATCATCGCTGTAATTGAGGAAGAAAATGGCTGTTTTACTTAGCTGTTTGATAAGAACAGTGATCAGTGGAACCATGAAGGGCAAGACACACAGATAGTACAAAATGAAAGAGAAAGGGGAGAGAGATGTCTAGGCTGAAATGACAGCATGCAGTAGGAGAAATCTTCAAGATTCAGTTGTTGATATGCTACTGCTCTTTGGGAAGTTGTCAGAGCTTCCCCTGCATGTACCTTTCCCAGAACTTATAGGGCAAAGATGCCTGCAGGGTATTCTGTTGCAAAACCATCTGTGGTTATCTGAGTCCAGATTGTGTGTTTGGAATATTGTAATTGTGCTTTCTTGGTGAAGGAGATGAGAAAAACCTGTGGTTTTATTTCCCTGTGCTGCTTCTAACCACTGTCAGTTCCAAGTGATCCGTATCATTGAAGATAAGTAAAGGATGAAAGAAAGGGCATGCATACTTCCTGATGCTTTTCATTCAACAGTTCGTCAAGCCAAGCACATTCAAATTTTTCCAAATTGAAATAAAGGAATAATTTAAGCTGTTTAAATGTCAAGCTGTATTTGGACAGCAAAGGAAATTATTAAGTGACTCATAATAGCTCGCTTGTTCTTGTTTTGTGTGATTTTTCAAATAGAGGCTTCTATGTATATAGCAAGCTACTTAAATGGTTAATTCCTGTGCATGCAATGATAATTACCTAAATGACTTCAGTTAATAATAAGCTATGTGCAAAACCATGTCCAGACCCACATAAAAAAAAAAAGTTAGCTATTATCTTGCATTAAAAAGGGTGCTGTAGTATTTTTTTTTTATCTTCTAGTCTATCTGTAGCAGTCTAAACATAACACAGCATGCCAGCACAAAGGGGCTGTTGTTTTGAGTATTCTAATTGTACTTCTGTCTGCCAGCAAAGGAAGCAGTCATAAATTTTAGTCATTATCTGAAGTATCAGGGCTTTATAGCGTTTGGCACATTTCTTTGTCTGTTCCTCATTAGCCAATACTTACTGTGTTTTTTATATCCTAAAATACTTCCCTTTACTTAAGGGGGATGTTTCCCCAACATTTTAGACTGGTATGAAATGACGATAGTTGTTGCATAGAGTGACCTAATTAGGCGTTTTAAGCTGTCTATTCCAGTAGCCGCTACTGTGGGTCAGCTGCATTTCTCTTGAAGTCTGACAGATGCTTTATGAGAAAACCTCTAGTTGAAAGCATATTCATTTTACTTCTGTTTTCTATGCAACTCTTCCTCTGTTTTTTAATTTGCTATGGACTTCTGTATGGAAATGGGATCTTGACTGTGTATTTGCAATCATCCCCTCTTGCTTCCTGCAGATCTTTGAAGCTGGAGGATTTAATTTTGCACTCTCTCTTGGTTTTACACTATCTTAGTTCAAGTGATTCAGTATATCTTCTCCCAAATTCATGCTAGCAAAAGAAGAATGTCACCTGTGTGTCTTTGTTGGTGATATTATGTTAAACTGTACATAAATTAAATAAATAAAGCATTGTTGACCCAATTTAAATAGCTTAAAAGCTAGAGATTCAGTGCTTTCTGTAGAATTTTGAGAGTTTCATGAACACCTAAGAGCATTTAATTTTCTGATTTTAAGTTCTCTCACTAGCAGAAGGGAGTGAATTGAAGGAAAAGGAGTAGGGAAATGTGTCAGACTGCAAAGACCCTAGAGCTCCTAATTAGATTGTTCAGGGAGGAGATCCCTGACCTCACACTACACTGAAAGGTGTGCATTGTTCATGTACTCGGAGAGCTAAGAGGTTAAAACCAGGAGATTAAAAGTAGCACCATGTTTTGGTGCTGTTGGTGATGACATGCTACTCCTTGCGGAATTGTCAACCTCATTGACATTTAAATAGCAGAGTTATTTCATGGTTGCAAATGCTGTCATGTGATCCAGTAGTTACTCATGTGAACAAAGCTGGCTGAAAGACTTAAAATAAAAAATAGGGTGTGTGTGTTCCCTGGTTGTTCATGCTCTTCATATCAGTTCATTCCCAGTCCAGTTTTGTTGATCGCATTTGAAAACTTAGTGTTTCAAAATCTCTTCTCACTGACCTACAACTCAATTTCCTTTCCTTTTTGCAAAACCTGAAGAGATTCTGAATTCCTTGTTCTTTTTCATTCCTCGAGGAAAAACATTCTTTCGAATACAGAGGCTCTAACTTTTTGTGCCACCTGAGCCTGTGCTTGAGACCTGGACTTCTCTTGCAGTGTTTAGTTGTGTAAGTCCTTTTTTTGTTTGGTTGGTTTTTTTTCCCCCTGTGGAAGTAATTTTTTCCTTGATAACCATTGAGGCCCTTTCACAGTCGCACCAATCTCTTGTGTTTCTGTGGCTTTAGAAGCTGCTTACCATCTTTCTTCTTCTTCACAGCAAATGTGCTGATACTTATTTTACTCCCTTGGGGGTTATAAGCCTTTGCATTGAGTTGAAGTACTTTTTTTGAAACAATGGTCTTCAAAGTTTTTTGTTTCCTGCATGCACAGTTTAAATAACGTGAGACTACTGCTTTTTCTGTTTGAATTAATGTACTTCAGATGTACTAGTTTTGTAGCAAGTGCTAGCACAAGGAAAAATTGTTAGCCAAGCACTGTGTCAATAACTTGACTAGTCACATCACATGTTGCTGGGAGCTAGAAGAGCATGATGAGAAAAGTGTCTCTTGGTATGTACCATGCTCTTAGTTTTTCCTTAAACACTTAGTACTAGTAACTGCTGAAAACAGAATAATGGGATAGATGGACTTCTGGTCTTAACTAGTTTGGCTGTTCTTACAGCAATTTTGCCCAGAAGAGCTACAAGTAAGTGGAACCAAAGAACTTCTGAGCAAGATACTGACGTTTTCAAAACAGGATCCCAATGTTAGTTATTTGAATCCTATTTAGGCTCTAAAATTAGTGGCCTTGTTTTCAAGTATGCTGGACACCCTTAAAACCCAAATGGTGTTTGATGAAAGAAACATAGAAGATGCTTGTCATATTTGTAAATCAGGTCACAGCTGGCTAAATATGGATTTAGCAACCCAGCTTTCAATTCCTATTTATAAAGATCTTAGTCACTCTTCTCCACTCCTGTAAATGGTCTTGGTATTTTAAGAGGAAAGAATATCCCTTTCTTCAAAACATGGTATATCAGCAGAAGTCTTGAGTTTTTCCAGGCCATGTCACTAAGGTTGTTAACTTTTTAAATTGAAAAAGGAGAAGAAAAAAAAAAGGGGGAGCAGGGCAGGGGGGAAGCCCAAGCAGCCTCTTTGATCTGTGTGTCTGTAGCCACCATTTATCCGATCTGTATGTCTGCAGTGTTCCGACAACAACTGATAAGTCTATAGTAAAATCAGCCAGGACTATTGGAAAACATCCAAGTGTCAAACCTAAATGTGAGTCTTTAGTATTGTTCAGTCTTGCAGAACTGTGATTGACTGCCTTGGCTGTAGAAGACTTTTGTGAGTGTATACATTTGTATAAAGATTTTTGCGCAACATTTTCAGTTGTGTTAATTTGATAAAATACTTGCAAGAGTAA